TTGTGACAAAAATTTTGCCCCCCTGCCGTACCAGCTTGCCCAACATGCGCTTGCACCACTCGGCCTCCTCGTGGTACTTCTGGGCAAGGGTTTGTTGAAGATCTTGCATGATCGAGATATGCTGGCGCATCAGGTCCTGGTGTGCCTGCCAGTGCCTGCAGCTCCCTTGGCTTCGGCTGGGGTGGCTCGCCCCTCATCAACAGCTGGCCCAGTGGTGGAGGACAAAAGGGAGAGGCGGTCAGTCATTCCTGAACATACTCTGTGTTCCTGAACACTCCTCTATGAGCAGTGAGCAACTGTCCTTGGTAGAGGTGACGCTGATGTCCTGAGAGCCAGGCCAAGTGTTACCCGCCCAGCAGCCCCGGCCTCAGGGACCCTGAGGTGCCCAGAGGATCATCCTGCATGTTTCCCCCCGCTCTATGGACAAGCAGGCTAGGGAACTGTCTGGCTAGAGGGAGTTCCTAGGTGGCCATCCTTGCTCCCCCCCCCCACACACACCTGCACCTGGCAGCGCTGTTTGCAGGAGCAGGTCATGCCTCATGCAGTGTGCTATGTGCAACACTCATCAGTCTGTGTGGGGTCATGCATACACCCTTGTGCCCAGCGTGCCCCATCCCATGAACCTGCCTCCCCTGCCCTGTGTGTGCGCCAACCTCACAGCACTCCCCTGATGTTCCCTCCCTGCCATCAGATGAAGCCCGGGAGGTGTCCTGGGCCTGGGGGACTGGCTCCAGGCTGTGGGTGATGACTCCACTTGTGTCCGCCTCCTCTTGGATCACCGGCTGGGTGACCACAGGTGTCTCTAACCCCGACTCCACATGGAGATTGTGGTTCACCACCACCATCCAGGATCTGCTGGAGCTCCTTGTAGTATGGGCAGGATAATTGTGCTGCCCCGGAGCAGGAGCTGGCCTCACGGGCCTGAGCATAGCTCTGCCACAGCTCCTTTACCTTTGTCTGGATTTGGTCAAGGGTGCGAGGGTGGTGGCTTCTGTGGCCAGAGCTTTGGCCATCCATCCATATGTGTCTGTGTTTTGGCGCCATGACTGAAGGTCCTGGAGAGACTCCTCCTCAGTCCAGAGCTCCAGGAGGGCCTGGATCTCAGCCCCTAACCAGGAAGGTGCACTGCATTTCTTGCCCCGGGGGGGGTCCTGGGACCCCTGAGGCAGCTCCCTGGAAGGGCAGGGTGACCTCGGGAGCCTAGTGGTTGTGCCATATCTGATGGCTGGTGTGGCAGGGAGAGCTGCGCAATCAGTGTGCTTCCCTGAAGCTGTAGAGAAGAGGGGGCTCTAGCACTGCCTTTCATTCTCTGTTTTGTGTATTTCTATGTCTCCTTCTGCAGGTGGTGAGGGCCATCAACTCTGTGCCGCTGTGCAGGATCATCCGCCTCGGAGATGTGGATACCATCGTGGCCGGATTTGCTGCCCTTGGATTCCTGAACTGTGGAGGAGTGGTCGATGGGACACACATTCCAATCCATGCACCACCCAATCGAGCAGCCCAGTTTATTAACAGGAAAGTCTACTTCTCAATGGTGCAGGCCCTTGTCGACTACTGGGGACAATTAATAGACATCTGTGTCGGGTGGTCGGGCCACGCATATGATGCCCGCATATTTAAGAACTCTTGCCTGTACTGCAGGGTGCAGGTTGGAACATTCTTCCCACAGCAGGACTTTGCGCTTGGGGACCTGCAGATGCCGACTTGCATCGTGGGCAATGTGGCCTACCCACGGAAGCCATGGCTCATGAAGCCCTACACTGGTCACCTGGACCCAACCAAGGAACAATTTAATGTGCACCTGAACCAGACTCAGGCATCTAAAGGGACGGTTCAAGTGCCTGATGACTTGCCTCAACACGGGGGAGCGCAACATCCCTGAGGAGGTCTCTGCGTGTTGCATGCTCCACAACCTGGTGGAGAGCAAAGAGGAGGCCTTCCTCCCATGGTGGGGGACAGAGGCTGGTGGCGAGGGGAGGCTGTTTGAACAGCCCCGGACAGCTGCCATCTGCCAGGCCCATCAGTTGGGGTTGCGCATCCGGGAGGCCCTGAGGGAGAGGTTCTCTGAAGGAGCCCAGTAACTCTCCCCAGGTCCTCTCCAGTGGGGGCTTTTGCCTTGCCCCAGCAATACTGTTCCCAACACAATCCTAACCCTTCCCCCATTCCCTGGAAAATTAATAAAGACACTGTTTTGGATTTGAAAATTAACTTTGTTGTAACTTATAAAAAATGTTATTAACCAGGGTGGAGGGGGGCTCAGAACCTGGCAGGAGGAAGGGAACTAGGAGGGGAACTCAGGACTGAGTGTGTTGCCTAGAGTGCCTGCA